GGGGGGGGGGGGTCACAGAGTGATGTGTGAATGACAGGCCATTAGCTGGAGGAATCAAGACGCAAGCAGATCTCCTCCAGCTTAGCGCGTCTCTGCGTGTATGGCGGTTTTACACACACAGCCTTTGGTCACGCCAATTCAAACACACACATGCAGACACACACGCGGAACATTGCACCATTTCCATGATTTCTTTCGTTTGAATTCCTTTCTCTGAAAGGGACAAACAGGACTAAGTAACGCCTACTTTATCATCCAAGCTGCCCTACTAAATATTTTAGCAGCTGCTCAGTGATCACCTGACCTCTGACCCATGATTGTTGACCAATTACAAAACGCAGCAAACCACCAATACCTCTACACCATCATCTTTCATCTTTACTATAGGCCACAATTAGTAATATCAAAAATATCATTCAAAACTATATTAATAATCTTCATATTCGTCTTAAAACTATACTTTTAGGTACATGCTGGGCAAACTCTAAACCCTGTGACTGGACAGCCGTCAAGCTCCTCCACTGTTCAAGTTTGGTTTGTTAGTGCATAAGCGAGGGCTGAGATTTAGACATTGTCTGTCTCACGAAGTCCCACTAAGCAGACGGGCCAGGAGACGATAACACCATTAACATCTTCGCTCCACGCAAGAGGGCAACATTTCTGTACTGATCCACGTCAAATGCCGCTCTAAACGTTTATCAGATCCGACTGGAGAGCTTTATTGATATGGATGCTGCCGTTTTGCCGCCAATGTCCTGAAACGTGCGGGTGACAGAGCGATTTGATCGCAAGAAAAGTTGTCCAAACGTGCAGAAATGAATCAACAGCCCACAATATCCCCAGCTTTCACCTACATACAGTACAGAGACCTAAAATAAAAATCACCATTTTTTAAAATCAAGTTTGTTTCATCCATTTGTAAAAATAAGTTCTCTAAGTGTGGGTAGGGCAGGACCACACCTCACCGTATTTCAATAGGTTTCTGTCAGGAAGGTCATACGGAACTATTCTAGAATGATTGAAAGGAGCAAAACTCAGGTTAGGGGTATTAACTCCTTTAAACACGTATGGATAACGCAGAGAGGAGATTCAAGCAAGAGAGCAAAAAGCACGAAACATGCAAGGGGGCCTATTTAGCAAACATTTTGAAGCTTCAAAAACCCCTGAAATAGCACCATGACAACATCCTCGCATATGTGCACCATAAACCTCAAAGCTTTGTATTTATATAGTCTCTCCTACAAAAATACGTGTGCCCTTTTTAGGTTCATTAAGGTACTGCAGAGTGTCATGCAGTCTCTCACAAAGAGCACGTCTGTCCCGCCAAGTACTCAGCCACACCCCTTCAGAGCAGAGGAAGTCGCGTAAGAGCGGTGAATAAAGGCACGCGGTTTTCTGCCATCTCCACCGATGCAAGCTCGGACGGTAACGCTTGGTCATGGATCGGGTTCGTGCAGAAAAGAAGCTGGATGTCATCTGGCAAAAGGGTTCACACTGGTATAAATGTGTTCAGCTGAACAGTGCAGGGTTTCAAATAAAGCAACTACGGTGATCCAGTCAGGCTGTAAAGCTAGATCCCAAAATGTTTTAGGCCGCACAGAGATGTCTACTTCCCCAAAACAGGGAATGCATACATACATGTACAAAAATCTAGTTCTTTATGTTGAACTCCCCTGGGGCAACAGGTGGGCTATATCAGAAGCAGAGGGTGGGCAATATGAGAGCAAGGAAGTGGGGGGGGGGGGAAACAATACCATCATGTCCAGCATGAAAAGATGAATCTAAAAGGAAAAAAAAAGAAAAAAAAAACAGAAGGGGGATAAACACCAAAAACAAGAAGTTTATCAGTTTTCAAAATCATTCATTCTGTGATTGCCTACTCAACATTCCTCTATTTGGATTAAAAAAAAAAAAAAAAAAAAACTCAGATTTGATCTGGGATCCCTTATCGCAGACAGAGACCTACTAGAGGCTAACTTTGCATGCGAAGTGTTGGCAGAGGGTTAAAACCACAAAAGACACAGAGGACAGAGCTTATTAGCGACCTGGCCCTTTTCACACGGCGTGCCCCGCGTGTGCATGCACGCGCACGTGCGACCTAGTGATTGTGGTCCCACTGTGGAAGGGTTAAACAGCCCAATGCTCCCACTAACCTGCACAGAGAGGAGCTAAAGTGCTTGATGCCAGTGGCTCCTTCTTGTGGTGCCAATGGGCCAAAAGAAAAAAGAAGAAAGTATATATTTACCTCCCTGTGCAATTAGTGGCAGGAATTAAGGTTTTACCATAAGACAAAAAAAAATAAATTTTGATGTGCTAGTTACTAGTGAGATTTCAGGAACAGGCACACTCATGTCACATGACGAGAACACTGTAACCACAAGTGCAGGAGCCTCATGCTTCCTGCAGGGGGCAGGGGTTTGGGGTTTATCGGGATGTAGCGAGCCCTTTGGCTGCCCCAGGAATTAGCACATCTCACCAGTACACGGTGCCGCCGAGACCCGAGCCTCCATCCTCAATGCCGGCCGGCCTCTACAGACTCCGTGAGCCTGCCTGTGGTTTTGTTCAGGAGCTCCACTCTGGCAGCAGAAATCTCAAAATCTCCAAGCAGGTCTGATGACCAGCCACCGGCCAGGGACTAGAAAGCAGCCCTTCTCTGCAGAACAGGCATGTAAGGTTCGTCTGCCCCATGAGGCTGCTTACACCAACCCACTTTCGCGTCAGGTCAAAATAAAATAAGCATCTGCATTTCTTCAATGCAACGGGAGCCACATAGTTGCTTTATCAAAGTTCAAGTGAACTGTAAAATACAGCAATGACATATATTACTCCTAAAATATATATACACATACATATGAAATTCATATATACGTATATATATAGGAAGTGAACAGGAGCCCAAGAGGTGGGAAGGTGCATGCAGGCTTGGTTTACAGGTTCCTCCCACCACGGCTTGGGATGCCCTGGGGGTCAGACAGACATAAGTCAGGGGCCTCAGACTGAACCCAAACAGCCGCAGGCCCCTGCCTCTAAAACGAGCTTGATGCTAAAGAATCATGTGCTTACCAGAGAGCGTATACTGTATATATTTATATACGTGTGTCCTAGGGATTTAAGTAATAACTAAAACGATAGATAGTAACGTGTGTGTCTGGTTACACCCTGCCTGTTGCCAAAATTCCAGCCCCAATCCCACCCCTTAACCCTGACCCTGCCCCCCCATCCGAAGGCCCAGTGAGAGCACCCCACAGGTGGCGGATCATAACGGTAGCTTGACTTTGCCAACAGGTTTTGTCGTCGCCTCCTCCTCCGTTAGGAATCAAACGAAGGAACAGGCAGACGAGCACTGGAGACGGGAACCATGAGGCAAGGGCCACGGCCCTCTCTGCACCCTCCGTGCAGCTGCAGGCTCTACTTGACCTTGAGCGGCTCACGCTCCAGCCAGCGCACGCGCACCTTCTGTTTGTAGTGATACTCCTTAAGGAAGTCCTGCAATGCCGAGGGCAGCGGCAGGCCGCCGATGCCGTCGTAGGTGGTGCGCCGGCAAATGGCAGCGCGGGCGAGGTGCTGCAGGCTAAACGGGAAGGTCCGGTGCAGCGGCGCCGTCAAGAGCGGCTCAAAAAACATGCAGGAGCTGGGGTCTTTGTAATGCTCCAGCAGGCCAGTCACCGTGGACGAGTGGAACACGCAGGGGTCGTGAGCGTCGAAGCTGAAGTTATGGTTCCACTGCTCGATGCGGGCATGCAGCGAGCGGTTGTAGCGCCGGAAGCTGACGGAGAAGAGGTAGTCCTCCTGGGCCGAGTCGCGAAGAAGAAAGGTGCCCTCAGGCTTGCCCTCCAGCAGTGCCTCTGCCTCATAGCGATCCATCACACCCCAGTAGCATGGCAACCCAGTGATCTGCAGCAGGTCCGGTACCAGGCAGTGGATGTAGTCGATCTGCGTGTGCACCTTCCAGGGGCCCTGACGGCTTGAGTGGCCATCCCCAGAGGTGTGTCTCTGTTTGGGCCGCCTCGGCTGCAGGCACAGGGTGGTAGAGTCCTCCTCCGAGTCACAGTCTGCTGGCTGGGTTGCCACTGAGGCCCCCGATCCCAAGGCACTGGGCCCACCTGCCACAGCCCTACCATCCCCGGGACTCTCGCTAAGCCCTGGTGCCATCTTGGGCCCGAGCTTGTACAAGGAGCCAAGCTGTGCCGTAGCCTCGAAAGTATGGATCTGGGCGTTGGGCGGTGGGTCAACCCCTTCTTCGATGCTAAGCCGACGCCGCTCGCGCAGACGTTCCTCCTCATCTTCTGGGGAGGCATGTGTCGAATCGAAGGCATCCAGAAGTGTGGTGGAGGACTGTGGGCTGACCGGTGCTGTGTGCTGCTTGATCAGGTGCCATTTGTGGGCCAGGTCTGAGCCGGGGGGGAAGGGGCACTTTTCTAGCATGAGTTCTGTCAAGTGGATCTTGCGTTTGGAGGCAAAAAGTGCCTTGGTGGGGCGACTGCGCGACCGCAGTGGCAGGCAGAGCCCAACTGTGTCATGCAGCCGCTGGCGTAATGAGCGTCCACTTCCTGAATCAGTGTCACAGATGGAACTGACGCCGTAGCGACGCTCACGGCGAGGGGCACCACTGCGTGATCGGCAAGGCCGTTTGTCTGCCTCCAGCGAGCTCTGCGTCTTGGTTGAGCACGAGTGTTTCTTCTTGCCGCCCCAAGGTGCATGGCGTGAGTACGAGTCCCTCCGTGCCAACAAAGTGCCCTCAGGGCCACGTCCATCCTCTGCCTCTTTGTCGATGGAGATCTCCACTATTTGGGGAGCGTCTGAGACGCAGTTGTGACCCCGACGTGCCCTTAGCCCCTCGGGTACCAGAGGGATCGGTGACAGACTCCGGCTGGGGCTGGTGGCCCTGGGGGCCAGAGTGTCCATCAGCCGCATTCCCCGAGCAGGGTCGACCACACAGCGGACAGAGCTGGCCTCTGGGCTGGAGCTGCTACGCCCAGGGCTCTCTGTGTGGAACAGGGTCTGGCATCGATTCTTCAGGTTGCTCCACATCTTGCCCACTTTCTCCATTGACTGTGGGAGCAAGACCTATGAAAAGAGAGAGAGACAAGACTGAGGAGGTGACCTTATAAATACATCCTAGGTCATGAAAGCCATGGACTACTGCAAGGCTCCTCAATTATAGTCCTGGAGCTCAGAATCCAACACAGTTTGAAGGTTTCCCTGCTCAAAAACACCTTAATCAGCTAACTACAGGTTTAATAGGTATGTCTGAGCAGGGAAATCTGAAAACTGTGTTGGATTCAGGCCCCCCAGGACCGGAATTGGGGAAAGCTAGCTCAGTGTATCTAACATTACTGTAGGGCTAGAAGTCAAGCAGCAATAGTAACACATTACTACTCAGCATCTTCCGAGCCTTCACTGTAATAGCCCGTGATCCAAATGTGAGGAAAATCACAGTTTTCCCCTATTGGCTTTTTGGTTCAACCAAATGCACATCAGCAAGAGAGGGCTGCCATGGGTTTAACTAACCCAGGTGACAGATCTGTTGCTAACTGGACATGGAAATATTTAGATACATGCCAGGTCTCTGTGTGCATATATGCATTAATCTATGTATGTTTGCGTGAGTGAAATGTATGGGGTGGCACCAGACAATCTATTCCATAAGGTAGATTGAGCCATCCTATCTGACAATCAGACTCAGATCAAAGAAGAAGGTACATTTTGGACAGGGTGCATTTTTAGAATGCTACCGATGACATTTTTCTGGATGTCATTAAACTTGCTTACTTATTTAAGACCCGAGGCTTCTCAAAAAGGCACCGACAGCCAATAAAAGAGAGGCTAAGAGACAGACCAGCTCCTCTCATACCTCTGTCTGGCCTGCTCCTTGCCCCAGAGTTCCTGGTCATAAAATAGAAGTTGGGTGGGGGGTTAGTGTGCAAAAGTGTGTGAGAGTTGGGGGCGGTGGCAGCGATCCAGGAACAGACCGAGTGAAGTGTTGCCAGGCAGACTTGGAGGGACGCAAGGCCACAGCTAAAAATGTACCCATAGATCAGCTCCCAGCTGATCTGCTGGTATGTACTGTATTACAGTGCCAGTCTGGGCCGACCTACCCCCACCCTGCTGTGCGACACCTCCAGGCTAAGCTTGCAAGGAGCCACAGGGTCTGACCTAAAAGCTGAGGGGAGCAGGGGGGGTGGGAGTTAAACCGAGGCACATGCAGGTACACGTGCGCCGTGTGTGCATTCGACTAGCAAGGATTCTCTCTGGCACCATTTCACTTATCACCACCAATCTAGCCTCAAAGCACCAATTAGGGGCTCTCAGTCAGGCGCACAGAACCCAAGCAGACCCGCCTTGCCCTACTTTGCAGTGTCAGACTGGATGAAAATGCATCTTGGCCACAGGGCATGCAGACCATTCAGGTTGGACCTTTTGCCTCACAAATCACATCTGCGCACAGAGCTTTACAGAGTGTTACAGGCCCCAGAAACAATCACTAGCAAACTCACTTAAGATATCTAGCCTATTATTAGCTATACATAGCTTGCTAGCTATTTAAAATACTCTCACTAACTGGATTCCCACACTGCATGCTGTAATGATTATTGCAACATTTCAGCAAACTCAACTGTTTCTGACATTTATACACCTATAAATAGCAACAAAATACAGCCAGTCATATTACATAACATCAGTGTATTATCTGCCTATATTCCTAGCTAAGCCTTGTTCATTGTATAGTTTGTACCCTTTAAAGGTGATTTGTAAATCTAATTAGACTTATTTACATATTTTAAAAAACCAATAAACATTTCAACAAACAAGGCACAATGAGCAAACACCACTGCTTAATATGCAGGCCATTCATGACACACTGCGCTGGAACACTGAAGATAATGCCTTTCTGAGCAGCTAAAAAGGTAAAATGCCCAACAAGGCAATGAGGTCCCAGCGAGCATCCTCAACATGCCTGAAGTCTAGCCCTGCCCTGGAGTCCACTGTATAAAACTGCACATTTGTGCCAATGTCCCCTCTCTGAAAGGTGCCCTCCCAATCAGTCACATGACACACTGCAATCCCACTCTTGATGACAGAATCATAGTCTGGACACAGTGGCATTTAAAAACAGAGCAACCAGGGTTGGATTCATTTCATTAAAGGTTGAGTTTCTATCTCTCCGTAGCTATTAAAATGATGAAACTCCAAAGCACATGCTGGATGGGCAGAAGTGACTATTAGCAAAATGGAATGAAAAAGTATCCCAGGCAGCACTGCATTGTGGAGGAAGAGCAGCCCCCCCCCCCCCCCCAAGCGAAACCTTCCAGTGCTGACAGGGAGCGAGCGCCAGTGAGCCGACGCGTCCACACCCTGGGAGTTTCAAGCAGTATTAGTCATCGGCCCAGAAAACGCTGAAGTGGACATCGTGGCCTTAGCATAAACATGCTACAAACCCACTGTGTGGCATGTCCAATGCTGGTGCACCACCCCCCTTGAACAGCCCCACCCTCGAGCAATACCCAAAAAATACCACCACTGCGATGTCAACCATGATAACTGCAAAAATGTGTGCACATGGCGGCAGAACATTACATTATATCAACTCCATTATACATCATTTCCTTAAATGCATCACCAGAGCATGTGGTGAGAAAGTGCTGTGACTGGATAGCAGAGGAAAAAAACCCTAGGGATAGCCTTAGGGATAGCCTTAGGGATAGCCGTGTTCTGCCTTAGGCCAGAAAAATGGGGGGGCTTGACTGCAGACCATGACATCACCAGAACAACCAACACCAGCTCTTACAGTTGGCTAAGTGGCCTCGACGGAGTTGTGTCAGGGGTCAAAGTAGGGCCCTCAATGTCTGCCATGTGGAAAGCCCTGTAAATAAGCTTAAAAAGCAGGAAGTCTCAGTGACCCAGCCCAAGCTGTCCAGACAATGCCAGACGTAAAATAGCCAAAAAAAGCCAAAAAACAAAAAAGCAGAAGTTAAGATTCAACTCAGTGTAACTTGCTAGTTTTTACACACATCATCCAAAGTAATGGGACATTTCAATTATTAGTCAGATTTGTTTTGTCAAAAACAAATGCCTTATTTTAAATGTCTTACACTTACATTGATTTAAAATAAAACACAGGTAAACAACCAAAAATGCAAACTGAATCAATTATTCTCACATAAAAAGAATTTTTTTCCAAAAAGTAGAAAACCCGTAGGTACTCCTCTCATCCTAATCTGAAGAAGTGGAAAAGTACAGGCAGTTTCACATGATGTGGGGGGGGGGGGGGGGGGGGGGGGGTCTTGCAGTTTCAAACAGGAAGTATCTCCTTGTGCTGAAGCAGTTGGACAGGAAAACAGAAAGCTGGGCTCCGATCAGGATAAAGCAGAGCCCAAGCCACAGTGTTAAACCAGAGCAAGAGGGGGGCTTTAGACTGGGACCTACAGCCAGGCCTGGTTCCATATAACCACGGTTGGGGTCTTGTTCATAAAGGGATCCAAGATGCAGAAAACAAGCAGCTGCTGAAGTAGAAGCTCCAGTGGGAGCATGTCTGCAGGAGACTCCAGGACAGAATGCAGCTGTTACTCCACTTCCCACTCCCCCCCTCGCACACACATGCACCTACTAACTCTCCCTGAGGTTATAAAAGGCTGCTTAGTAATCAGTTATGATGAAACACTACAGAACCTGTCTCTGAGCATGAAGAGCTTGGCGGTCTTAGTGAAGGTATAACTCCAATTTCAATACCTCTTCCATTTTAGCATATGTAAAACACACACACGCAATCTATTTTACTATAGATCCAACATTTGCTGTGCAGTGACGTACACTCACATAAAAACCATACTGCAGTTCATTGTGCCTTAGGACAGAGTGCTTAGCTATAATCGTTTCTCTTTTTTTCTCTAGGGGCAACCCCCACTTCCCCTCCACAAAGGAAGAGGACTTGCACAATTCTTTCTCCTCCCCGAGTCGACTGGGCTTTCAAAAGGCAGCAATGCGGTGCGGGAGAGAGAGTTGCCAGAGAACCGTCCCAGCACCCCCACCCAGAAAAACTCACTGGGCCCAAGCTCGAGTTCAGTAAGAAGGGAGGGGGAAAAAACCATCCAGCCAGAGTTCAGGCTCAGTCACCCATTCAGGGAATGTGTGAAATCACATCGTTCCCCTGGTCCAACTAATCAGGCTTCCCCCAAACCAACATATTCAGAAGATATCTCATTCTCTCTCTCTCTCTCACACACACACACACACACACACACACACCTCTGACCAGTGTCCTTTAGTTATCCATGAAGGGACATCTTCTGACTGTGCCCAGAAAAAGCAGCAATGACAGTGACAGACAGCAAAAGTGAAGGGCTAGAGTGGAGCAACCATTTATACACCTGATCACCAATGACTGAAAGAACAACGAGATGGTGCAGGTCCAGATTTTCTCAACTTCCCCCCAGTTTGGCAAACAAATGACATTATACTAAAAAAAACTAATAATTGATTAAACAGCAAAAATACAAAGCACAGAGACATACAAAAATCCTATATGATGTAATATTCCTTTACAATTCACAATTACGCTGTGGTTTCTGCTCAAATCACAACAAAACATATGCAAGAGAACGATTTCACAAGTTCTTGAATTTTTGTGCTGGTTTCCTCTGCTGACTAAGTCACCCTGAATGAATGTGTCAGCATCACCATGTGCCTGTATCCTAACACCCGGGACTCTCAGGTTTGGCTGCAGATCATTACAACATAAACGACACGCTACTGGAAATGAATTCAATTATCGATAAAATACATGAAGCAACTCAAGCACTAGAATTGAAATAAAGCCATTTGTCCATGGCAAGAGTCCAGTGCTCTCCAATGGTGAATAGTGCATTTGTGTGTGTGTGTGTGTGTGTGTGTGTTTACAAAGTCAGACGCCCGCAAGTGGACACGTGAGGGGTTTGGGCTGGCTTTGCCCTCTAGAAGAGGTCAGAAATCTGGACACGACCACAAACGCTGTAAAGGAAACCACTGCGTCAGCCTTTTCACTCTAGCAAGGCACTGATACTGCAACGGGGGGGCGAAGAGGAAGACAA